CCCCAATCAAAATTTACAATGAGACCTGGAAAAATAACTTGCACTGCATAGTTAGAAATCGGATTTCCTACACTCTAGGGCACTAATCTCAGTTGTATACATGGAGTTCCTCTGCTGGCCTGGTGTTAGCCTGCCTTGTAGTAACAAGCTCGTGTGTGTTTTTTGTAAAATCTGTAAATAGCACATGACCAAATTGAACATATTGTATAGAACTATTTTTATTTTGATGTGGCACTAACCACCTTCATTATTACGGTAAATGTTAAAGCATGTTTTCAAATTCAGTCCTGTATCAACAATGTGTAAGTCATTAACAGTCCTAACTGTGGTGTTTTTCTCCAATGCCTTCCAACTTTCATCGACTAAAGTGAGTATTTCTCTTCCATTTCACCCTGCCAGTGGTGACTTGCTGTAAAATAGCATATGCTGTATACATGTTGAAGAATAAATAGTAATTTCCTTCATTCCCATGCTGTGTTTTGTCAAACTCTGCTGTGCTACATTATTATCACCACTTTAGACTCTTGTTTTTGTGGTCTGAAGCTTAACTTGCTGATTCCAAAGCATTTGCTTTTGGTTTAGTGTATTTTTAGAGTCATGTTTGATAGCACCAGGAGCCTTAGTACTCCAAGGTCTTAACAGCTTTTAGTCCTAAGTTTGAGATAAAATTGGACAAATCTGTAACTTGAGACCCTGAGAGCTGTTAACATGAATGTTTAGTGTCCAAAACTCTCTGATACTTGTGGTCAGGTGCTGGTTTGCTCCAAAGTTTTCCCTGCTCTGAACTAGGGGCTGACCAACTTTCCCTTGTCCCTGGTACCTGGGGCAGGTGCTGCTCGTGGCAAAACCAGCTCATTGTTTGTACATTGCCTATCTGAGAAGGCTAAAGAACAGTCTCAGCTTAACAGGACAGTTCTTTGAGACTTGTTCTAGGATTAGTGTCTTTGTAGAGCAGCAGGTGCTGTGTTATCTTGTGCTGGTTCAGTCTGCTTTAGTAACCAAATTCAAAGAGCTTTGTGACTCCTCAGAGAGGGAAAGGCTAGTTCCAAGCTATGTTCTGTTGGTGCCAGCTGGAATGCAGAGAGCACACGTAATTCTCTAGGTTTAAGCTCTCCAATATAGATGTTCACCTCAGAATCCACAGGCTCCGTTGGAAATTCCACTGCGTTGTGAACACTCTGTTTACAGAGACTTGGACTAGTGTGAGTGACGCTGAAGTGGCTCAGAGGAGCTAACCTAATGGTGCAGTAGGTGTTGCCAAACTGTGAGCATTTAAATCCCCCCAATGCCCTTTTTTAGTGTGGTGGAAGAGCCAAACTAAGGGTTTGCATTCCACAGGACCCAAGACCAGCACAGGCCATTTGCTGTATCAATAACAAGTGAGCAGCAGGAGACTCGTCCCTGTTTCTTGGAACAGCAAAATAATAGTTCATATGACGTAGGATTCCTTGTGATCAAAACATGTTACAAGGATGTTATTTGTTGGAAACAAATACAAGGAGGCTGGTTCTGTGTGCTCCCCGTG